AAGAGCCTGTGCACATATTGACTCACTCTGAGGCCCAGCACAGAGGCAGCTGTTTGAAAAGTACCTGGAATGTAGATGAAGATTTAGTGACTAATTTTAGGGCATATGTCAGAGGGATAGAGATTTGTAAAAACTTTCTCTGAGAACAGAAAAGGTGGTATGAGCTATTTTTCTCACCCTCCTTCTGCCTAGCTGGCCCAATACTGGTGGGTACCAGTTCTGACACTTTTCCATCTACCTTGTTAAGACTGCACAACCCATCCCAGGGTTCCCTTGAGGACTGGATCTGTCTAACCCACCCACTCTGGCAGGCACTCCTTCCAAGGTGGTCCTGCTCTATCATACCCAACAGGCATACCTGGCCAGGACCAACAGCCCCCAAATTGGCTACCAACTTAACACACCTAGTAGGGGGCCTTGGCCAGGACAAGGACCTCCAAAGCAGCTCTTGCCTGATGGGATGGCAGGAAGCAGCCCTGCCCACCAGTACAACAGCAACAGTCGTGACTTGGCTTGCACCAACCACAACAGGGGCTAGCCCTGCTCATGAAACCACCCACAGCAGTTGTGGCATAGTCACAAGAGAAGGGCACACACACCTCAAACATGGGACATCCCTGGAGTGCCTCATTTTGTTGATGAGGGAAAACTGTGCTCTGTGCCCCACAGGATACCTTCTACATAAGGCTACATCTTCAAAATAAGGAGCCATAGCTGATATACCTAATACACAGACAGAAACAGACAGTCAAGCAAAATGAGGAAACAGAGCAATATGTTCCAAATGAAACAAGACAAACCTTGAGAAAGAACTAAACAAAATGGAGATAAGCAATCTCTCTGACAGAGTTCAAAGTAATAGTCATAAATCTGATAACTGAACTTCGAGAAGATTGAAAGCACAAAGAACTTCAACAAAGAGATATAAAATACTTAAATAAAAAACAAGAGCTAAGAATACAACATCTGAATGAAAAATACACTAGAGAAAATCAACAGCAGAGTAGAGGATGCAGAAGAATAGATCAGTCATCCAGAAGACAGGTAATAGAAAGCACTCAAGCTGACCAGCAAAAAGAAAAAAGAGTTTTAAGAAGGAGAATAATTTAAGGGACCTCCAGGACAACATCAAGCATACTAACATTCCTTTTTTTTAAATTTTTTATTGTTATGTTAATCACCATACATTATATCATTAGTTTTTGATGTAGTGTTCCATGATTCATAGTTTGTGCATAACACCCAGTGCTCCATGCAGAATGTGCCCTCCTCAATACCCACCACCAGGTTAACCCATCCTCCCAGCCCCCTCCCCTCTAGAACCCTCAGTTTGTTTCTCAGAGTCCATCGTCTCTCATGGTTCATCTCCCCCTCAGACCTCCCCCTCTTCATTCTTCCCTTCCTGCTATCTTCTTCTTATTCTTCTTTTTTAACGTATATTGTATTATTTGTGTCAGAGGTACAGATCTGTGATTCAACAGCACATACCCTCCCCAATGTCTATCATCCAACCACCCCATCCCTCCCACCCCCCACCACTCCAGCAACCCTCAGTTTGTTTCCTGAGATTAAGAATCCCTCATATCCGTGAGGTCATATGATACATGTCTTTCTCTGATTGACTTACTTCACTCAGCATAACACCCTCCAGTTCCATCCACGTCATTGCAAATGGCAAGATCTCATTCCTTTTGATGGCTGCATAATATTCCATTGTATATCTATACCACATCTTCTTTATCCATTCATCTGTCGATGGACATCTTGGCTCTTTCCACAGTTTGGCTATTGTGGACATTGCAAGCATACTAACATTCTTATTATAGGGGTTCCAGATGTAGAAGAGAAAAGAAACAAGCAGAATATATATCTGAAGATATAATAGCTGAAAACGTCCCTTATCACGAAAGGAAACAGACATCCAAGTTCAGGAAGCACAGAGAGGACCAAACAAGATGAACCCAAAAAGATCTACAGCAAGATAATTATTAAAATGTCAAAAAATAAAGATAAAGAGAGAATTTTAAGAGCAGCAAGAGAGAAGTAACTAGTTACATACAGAGGAACACCCATAAACACATCAAATGATTTTTCAGCAGAAACTTTTAAGGCCAGGAGGGATTCTCATGATATATTCAAAGTGCTGAATGGAAAAAAAACCTACAAACAAGAATACTCTACCCAGCAGGGCTTTCATTAGAATTGAAGGAGAGATAAAACAGTTTCCCAGACAAAGGTTAAAGAAGTTCATCACACACACTAAACTAGTCCTAAAAGAAATGTCAAAGGGACTTATTTAAGTAAATAAGAAAAAGTCATATCTAGATGTAAGAAAATTTGAAAGTAAAATCTCACTGGTAAAAGTAAACATAGAGTGAAGGTAGTGGATCAAGCATTTATAAAGTTAGTATGAAGGTGAAAAGACAAAAGCAGTAAAATCAACTATATCTACAGTAATTAATTAAGCAAAAATAAAGATGAAAATATGAAACCAAGTACACAGAACATGGAGGGGGAATAAAAATGTAGTGCTTTCAGAATGTATTCAAAATAAAGAGATCATCAACTTTAAAAAGATGGCTATAGGGGCACCTGGGGGCTCAGTTGATTAAGCAGCTGCCTTCAGCTCAGGTCACGATCCCAGGGTCCTGGGATCGAGCCCTGCATCAGGCTCTCTGTTCAGCAAGGAGCCTACTTCTCCCTCTCCCTCTGCTGCTCCACCTGCTTGTGCGCCCTCTCTCTCTCTCTGTCAAATAAATAAATAAAATGTTTAAAAAATAAAAATAAAAAGATGGCTATATACATAGGTTGTTGTGTATGAACCTCATGGTAATCACAAACCAAAAACCTATAATAGATACACAATAAAATAAGGACAAAAGAATCCATGTGTAACAGAAAAAAGTCATCAAATCACACAGGTAGGAGAGCAATCGAAGGAACAAAGAAGAACTAAAAAATCAACCAGAAAACAATTAACAAAATGTCAGTAAGTACACACCTACCAATAATAACCTTAAATTTAAGTGAACTAAATGCTTCAATCAAAAGGCACAGGATAAGGGAATGGATTATAAAAATAAGACCCAACTATGCTGCCCATAAAAGACTCATTGGAGGCCTAAAGATAGATATAGACTGAAAGTGAAAGGACGGAAAAATATATTCCATGCAGAAGAATGAAACTGAACCATTTTCTTAAAGCATATATAAAAGTAGGCTCAAAATGGATGAAACACCTAAATGTGAGACAGGAATCCATCAAAATCCTAGAGTAGAACACAGGCAGCAACTTCTTAGGCCTCAGCCGCAGCAACTCCTCACTAGACATGTCTCCAAAGGCAAGAGAAGTAAAAGCAAAGATGAACTACTGGAATTTCATGAAGACAAAAAGCTTTTGCACAGCAAAAGAAACAGTAAACAAAGCTAAAAAGGCAACTTATGGAATGGGAGAAGATATTTTCAAATGTCTTATCAGATAAAGGGCTAGTATCCAAAATCTATAAAGAACTTATCAAACTCAACACCCAGAAACAAGAAATGGGCAGAAGACATGAACAGACATTTCTCCAAAGAAGACATACAAATGGCCAACAGACATATGAAACAATGCTCAACATCACTTGGCATCAGGGAAATACAAATCAAAACTACAATGAGATACCACCTCACACCAGTCAGAATGGCTAAAATGAACAAGTCAGGAAACAACAGATGTTGACGAGGATGCAGAGAATGGGAACCCTCTTACACTGTTGGTGGGAATGCAAATGGCTGCAGCCATTCCAGAAAACAGTACAGAGGTTCCTCAAAAAGTTAAAAATAGAGATACCCTATGACCCAGCAATTGCATCCAATGTATACAAACATAGTGATTTAAAGGGGCACATGCACCCCAATGTTTAAAGCAGCAATGTCCACAATAGCCGAACTATGGAAAGAGTCCAGATGTCCACTGACTGATGAATGGATAAAGAAGATGTGGTATATATATACAACGGAATACTACTCAGCCCTCAAAAAGAATGAAATCTTGCCATTTGCAATGACATGGATGGAACTAGAGGGTATTATGCTAAGTGAAATAAGTCAGAGAAAGACAAATTGATTTCACTCATATATGGAATTTAAGAAACAAAACAGATGAACATAGGGGAAGGAAGGAAAAACAAAATAAGATGAAAATAGAGAGGGAGGCAAACCATAAGAGACTCTTAAATGGAAACAAACTGAGGGTTGCTGAGGGGAGGTGTGTGGGGGGAAGGGGTAATTGGGTGATGGGCATTAAGGATGGCACTTGATGGAATGAGCACTGGGTGTTATATGCAACTGATGAATCACTAAATTCTACCCCAATAACTAATAAAAAAAAAATCCCCCTGAATCAAAAGAAGATATGCTGAGCTTTTTTTTTTTTTTTAAGATTTTTTTATTTATTTGACAGAGAGAGAGACAGCCAGAGAAGACACAAGCAGAGGGGAGCGGGAGAGGGAGAAGCAGGCTTCCCGCAGAGTGGGGAGCACCATGTGGAGCTCAATCCCAGGACCCTGGGATCATGACCTGAGCCAAAGACAGACACTTAACGACAGAGCCACACAGGTGCCCCTATGCTGAGCTTTAGATACAGAAAGAATAAAATTTGACTACAGCTGAAAAAAAATACTGGCATTTAAATAATTTCCAGGAATACAGACACAAAAGCAGGAATTTAGTTTCTTAAATTTACATTGAGTATACACTAGTTTTTAGAAAGTTTTAAGTATGTAACAAAATAAGAATTAGAATAAAAATTTATCATAAAAAAGTAGATGATCAATTGATGCAAGGAGAAGGCCATATATGGTTCAAAGGAAATTGTAACATTAAGAAAAGATGAGGATGTTCTGAAGGAAAGAATATTTGCTACAGTTATACAACATGTTCATATAATTTTCTTATACATAAATTAAGTAAGGACAATAATTGCCCTGAAAATGGTAATAAAACATACACAAACTCACCTTTTCACTTATAAAAATGTTATAGTCCACTGGGTTTTGTTCTATGCCTTGGTTATCTTCAGTAAGATCTTCAAGTTCACTGTTTCTACTCCTTAATTTATAAAGAAGATGTTGAAATTCAATTGCAGATTCCAGAGGCTCGATTCCATAAGAAATATTTTCAAATTGCAGTATTCCTCTGTAAAATTAAGAATAAAACTGTAAGTGCTTTTAATCAATTCTCTATTATAAAACTGACAGAATCCAAAAGAAGAAGGAGAAAGAGGATAAAGAACATTGAATATACACTAGTAGTTTTTTGAGCTCAGTATTTTGACCCAAACTCTTTACATTATGGAAATAATTCTGAAGAGACAAAATATCTCCTGCAATCCACAAAATTCACTTTCAATTTGATTCTCTCTATAGATATAAAGGCAGCAGAAATTATGTAATCAGTTGCGAGGTATATAAGTATACAGCATTACAGTGATTGAGGAATTCCCTGTTCTCCAAGTCACTGACTTAATGAGAGCAAAAGTAAATAGAAATCTTAATGACTTTCTCTCTGGTTTGCACTGCTTTTGAAAAATGATCACATTGCCTATATAACAAAAGTATATGTAATAAGTAAAATTTTATTTATAAAAATAAAATTTAGCAGTAATTTTGAAAAAGCATTTATTAATCTTCTTTATGCACACAGTCTGAATAAGAAATTAAAAGCAAGATTTTAAAGATTAAACAACTTTTATAACTATTTTTCTCTGGCTCTGGCTCTGGTTCAAGTGGCTACTTCCCAAAAAACAAACTATAGAGTTCCATGTAACAAGCACCGAGGAACACTTATTTATTTGTTAAAATAAGGATCCTATACTACAAAAATGAGGATGAAGAATTTCCTCACAGGATGGAAAATTCTAGGCACTAAGGAAGTAACCCTACAATTGTTATCATTTAAGACATTGATATTATTAGAAAAATATGAGTACTATATTAATAATTATTTGTTTATATAGAATTTGCCTCCGCTCCCTGAAGGTGATTTTCCTTGAGAAAAAGTACGCCTTGTTTATTTTTATTTATCTTTATAACTCCAAACACTAGGCCAGTAGGTGACACATGGTAGGTACCAAACATATCCATTTGCTGAAAAAATAAGCTATCCTAAACAGTTCCTCCAACTTGCTGTAGTCATTTACATTCAGTTGTCATTTCTGTAGCTAAAAAAAACAAAAAACAAAAAAACAAGATATAGAGCAAGGAGACTAGGAAATCTAAACCTTCAAGGAGGTTAGAAATGTCTCTGGCCAGCAAGGAAGTGAGGAGATACAAGAGAAGAAAAATGTTCAGAGGAGGATATCATTGCATTATCTCACATGGGAATCCTCTTCCAGCCCCAAACTTAATATAAAAATGAGAAATTCACTGCAGCCAAATATCATTAACTACAATGTTCACATATCAGTGACAGAAAATAAATAACCTCAATCCAGAGCACGTGCTGAGTGTGACAACAGAGTTCGGATGTCCTTCAATATGCCCCTGGTAGTAGCACTGAGCCTAGGAACGAAAAAAAGTGAAGTCGTTATTTAGGATTGACAAACTTTCTAATGATTTCTTATTTTTATACTTGTTAGAACTTTCCAAATATTTTCACAGGCCACATGGTTTATATATCAGTATGGATAAAGTGACATTCAGGAAAAGTTTCCCTATATTTGTCACTTTTACTATATTAACTACTCTTCTGATTAATATTTGGAATTATTATTTTATACTCTGCTTCAAAGTGTTATCTCATATTTTTGGTTAAATTGCTTTCTAATATATAAATTTAGTTCATCAATTAAAAGACAAAGATTATGAATCTGGGTTTCAGAGAAAATCTCATATTCTACTAAAAAAATCTAAAATTTAAGGACACAGGAAGATTAAAGAACTAGAAAACGATACACCATATCAACACAAACCAAAAGGATGTTTCTGAAACTATACTAATACAAGAAATGAAGACTTTAAGGCAAGAAGCATTACCAAGTGATAAAGAGGGACATTTCATAATGAAAAGAGTTTCAGCTGATCAGGAAGATATAAATATTCCAAATTTGTATTCACTTCCTAGATAGCTTCAAAATATATAAGCTCAAAATTTAAAAAATAATAAAAATTGAGAAATGCATAATCATAGTAAAAGATACATTTCTGTCTGATAAATCAAGCATTCAGAATCTACAGAAGATCTGAACAGCATGTTAGCAACCTAATATAGGCAGAATAAAAACTGTAGAATGTACTTTCTTTTTAAAAAACATGGAATATTTACAAAAATGAAACCATATTCTGGGCCATGAAGCAAGACAAGAAATTTTAAAGAACTGAAATCATACAAAGTTTGGTCTCTAATCACAGTAGCTAGAGATATAGCAGACATCATCACAGGGAGAAGATTATGTAATTTCCAAGATTCAGTAGTGCTATAAATTTTGGTGGAAACCAATGTAAGATTTCTAATTAACACACTGCTTTATAATAGAACTAAGGGAAGGAAGAAGGAGCAAGAAAAGGAAACTGATAGCTCTAGCCAATAAAAGTGAAGGAACATGGTGTCCAAATTCAATCTTTCAACAAATTTCTGTTATGCTAACTATACGTCAGGCATTTTTCTAGGCACTGGGCATACATCAGGGAATAAAAAAGACTAAAATAAAAACCCTGCCTTCATAAAGTTTATTTTGCACTGGTGAAACAGAAAATAGATAAAATATATGGCACATCATATATTGATAACCACCATAAAGAAAAACAAAACAGATAAAGTAAGAGAGTACTAAGAGTAAGAGAGCAATTTAAAATGAGCAAGGTAGACAGTAACAGGAAATGAGGTCAGTCAGGTAAAGAGGACCAGATTGTATAAAGGCTGTAGGATATTGAAATGACGTTGGCTTTCACATTGTGAACAACAGGAGGTCATACCATAGAGGGTTCTGAGCACAGAAACAACACAATGTGTCTAGGCTTTAATAGGATTGATCTGGTTGGTCATGTAAACTGACTAAAGGGATGGGCAAGGTATAGAAAAAAGGAAATTATTCATGAAGTTATAGCAGTAATCTAAGCATTTACTTGGAAAAGAATGTTATTAGGATACAGACAGAGGAAGAGGGTGGATCTGGCTATCTAATTTAAAGGGTAGGGTCAATAAGATTTATTGATAGATGGGATGGGGGTTAAAAAAGAAAAGGTTTAGGAGCAAGATGGTGGAGGAGTAGGAGACCTAAATTTCATCTAGTTCCAGGAATTCAGCTAGATAGGGATCAAACCATTCTGAACACCTATGAACTCAACAGGAGATCGAAGGAAAGAATAGCAGCAACTCTCTCAACAGAAAAGCCACGACTTTCTGGAAGGTAGGACGTGCGGAGAAGTGAATCCGAGGCGAGGGGGAGGCCTCCAACTGCCACTTCTGGCAAGTGATAGAGCAGCGGAGCACAAAATCGGAACTTTTAGAAGTTGGCTCTGCTGAAGGACGTCGCTCCAGTGGCTAGCAGGGGTGGAACTCTTGCTGGGACAGTGTGATCTCAGGACCCTCGGGGTCACAGAAAGACAGGGGGTGTCTGAGTGCAGCAGAGTCCCCAGGTATCTGAGCAGGGAAGCCGGCTGCAGAGACGGAGCCGAGGCGCGGGCTCTCAGCTCAGGGTTGCCATAAATCGTAATCCGGGGCACAGTTGGGCCACTGCTCCTCCAGCAGGGACCCAACAAGCAGCATACCCAGGGAGACTCCCCTTCCTCCCCCAGGAGGAGAGGCACGGGAGCGCACTGCAGGGATCTGCTGGGTTTGGAGACTCCACACCGAGTCGGGTGCCAGAGATAGAAAAGCCCAGTCACAGGCCAGGTGAGCAAGGACTGTGGCCAGAGACCAGGGAAACGGGAGTGATAGACTGCTTTTCTCTGGGGGCTCACTGAGGAGCAGGGCCCCAAGTTCTCCGATTCTCCGGGGCAGAGACTGGGAGGCCGCCATTTTCACTCTCGTCCTCCAAAGCTGTACTGAAAGCTTGCAGGGAACAAAAGCTCCAGAGAGCAAAGCCGACAGATTACTTAGCCCGCCCAGGCAAGGGCGGGGCAATTCTGCCTCCCGCAAAGACATTTGGGAACCACAGCAACAGGCCTCTCCTCCAGAGATCAGCAAGAACAGCCAGCCAAGACCAAGTTTACCCATCAATGAGAACAGCAGAACTCCAGCACTATGGGAATACTGCAGCACATAGAATTCATGGCTTTTTTACCATGATTCTTTAGTCTTTCAAAGTTAATTTTTTTAACTTCCTTTTTTTTTTTTGAATTTTTCTTTTTCCCTTTTTCAACCAACAACTTATCAATCCCTTTTTTAAAAAATCTTTTTGATTTTTCATTTTTAGAGTCATAGTCTATCCCTTCATAGTAGTTAACCTTATTTTTGGTATATATATAAGTTGTTCTCTCTTTAAAATTTTGAGATACAGTTTATTCTAACAAACCAAAATATACCCTAAATCTCTAGTGTATGGCTTTGTTCTAGTCTCCTGCCTGATCACATTCTCTCCCTTTTTTAATCCTCTTCTTTCTTTTTTCAACCAACTTCTTATCTTCTCATTTCCTTTTATAAAATCTTTTATACTTTTCATCTTTACAGTCATATTCCATCCCTTCATCGTATCAACCCTTATTTTTGTACATATATGTATTTCTTTCTTTAAAATTTTGGGAGGCACTTTCTTCTAACAGAACAAAATACGCCCAAAATATAGTATGTGGCATGGATCTATGCACCAGCCTCATCATATTTGATCATATTCTGTTTTTTGTTTGTTTGTTTCTATCTTTTTCTTTTTCTTTTTTCTTTCCATATCTTTTCCCCTGGTCTCAGGTCTCTTCTGATTTGTTTAGTGTATATTTTTCTGAGGACGTTGTTACCCTGTTAGCATTTTGTTCTCTCATTCATCTATCCTCCTCTGGACAAAATGACACTATGGAAAAAAAACACCTCAAAAAAAAAGACCAAGAGGCAGTACCAACTGCCAGGGACCTAATCAATACGGACATTAGTAAGATGTTGGAACTAGAGTTCAGAATGATGATTTTAAAGATACTAGTTGGGCTTGAAAAAAGCATGGAAGATATTAGAGAAACCCTTTCTGGAGAAATAAAGAAACTAAAATCTAACCAAGTCGAAATTAAAAAGGCTATTAATGAGCTGCAATCAAAAATGGAGGCTCTAACTGCTAGGATAAATGAGGCAGAAGAGAGAATCAGTGATATAGAAGACCAAATGATGGAAAATAAAGAAGCTGAGAAAAAGAGAGATAAACACCTACTGGATCACGAGGGCACAATTCGAGAGATAAGCAATACCATAAGACAAAACAATATTAGAGTAATTGAGATCCCAGAAGAAGAAGAAAGAGAGAGAGGGGCAGAAGGTATATTGGAGCAAATTATAGCAGAGAACTTCCCTAATCTGGGGAAGGAAACAGGCATGAAAATCCAGGAGGCACAGAGAACCCCTCTCAAAATCAATAAAAATAGGTCAATGCCCCAACATCTAATAGTAAAACTTCCAAGTCACAGAGACAAAGAGAAAATCCTGAAAGCAGCTCAGGACAAGAGATCTGTAACCTACAATGGTAGAAACATTAGATTGGCAACAGACCTATCCACAGAGACCTGGCAGGCCAGAAGGGACTGGCATGATATCTTCAGAGCACTAAATGAGAAAAATATGCAGCCAAGAATACTATATCCAGCAAGGCTGTCATTGAATATAGAAGGAGAGATAAAAAGCTTCCAGGACAAACAAAAACTAAAGGAATTTGCAAACACGAAACCAGCCCTACAAGAAATATTGAAAGGGGTCCTCTAAGCAAAGAGAGAGCCTAAGAGCAACATAGACTAGAAAGGAACACAGACAATATAAAGTAACAGTCACCTTACAGGCAATACAATGGCACTAAATTCATATTTTTCAATAGTTACCCTGAATGTAAATGGGCTAAATGCCCCAATCAAAAGACACAGGCTATCAGACTGAATAAAAAAACAAGACCCATCAATATGCTGTCTGCAAGAGACTCTTTTTTTTTTTATGTTAGGTTAATCACCATACATTACATCATTAGTTTTTGATGTAGTGTTCCATGATTCATTGTTGGCATATAACACCCACTCCTCCATGCAGAACGTGCCCTCTTTAATACCCATCACCAGGCTAACCCATCTTCCACCCCCTCCCCTCTAGACCCCTCAGTTTGTTTTTCAGAGTCCACAAGAGACTCATTTTAGACCGAGAGACACCCGCAGATTGAAAGTGAGGGGGTGGAAAACCATTTACCATGCTAATGGACACCAAATGAAAGTTGGGGTGGCAATACTTATATCACACAAATTAGATTTTAAACCAAAGATTATAATAAGAGATGAGGAAGGACACTATATCCTACTTAAAGGGTCTATCCAACAAGAAGATCTAACAATTGTAAATATCTATGCCCCTAACATGGGAACAGCCAATTATATAAGCCAATTAATAACAAAAGCAAAGAAACACATCGACAACAATACAATAATACCGGGGGACTTTAACACCCGCCTCACTGAAATTGACATATCATCCAATCAAAAGATCAACAAGGAAATAAAGACTTTAAATGACACACTGGACCAAATGGACTTCACAGACATATTCAGAACATTCCATCCCAAAGCAACAGAATACACATTCTTCTCTAGTGCCCATGGAACATTCTCCAGAATAGATCATATCCTAGGTCACAAATCAGGTCTCAACTGGTACCAAAAGATTGGGATCATTCCCTGCATATTTTCAGACAACAAAGCTTTGAAACTAGAACTCAATCACAAGAGGAAAGTCGGAAAGAGCTCAAATACATGGAGGCTAAAGAGCATCCTACTAAAGAATGAACGGTCAACCAGGAAATTAAAGAAGAATTAAAAAACTTCATGGAAACCAATGAAAATGAAAACACAACTGTTCAAAATCTTTGGGATGCAGCAAAGGCAGTCCTAAGAGGAAAGTATATAGCAACACAAGCCTTTCTCAAGAAACAAGAAAGGTCTCAAATACACAACCTAACCCTACACCTAAAGGAGCTGGAGAAAGAACAGCAAATAAAGCCTAAACCCAGCAGGAGAACAGAAATTATAAAGATCAGAGCAGAAATCAATGAAATAGAAACCAAAAGAACAGTAGAACAGATCAACAAAACTAGGAGCTGGTTCTTTGAAAGAATTAACAAGATTGATAAACCCCTGGCCACTTATCAAAAAGAAAAGAGAAATGACCCAAATCCACAAAATCATGAATGAAAGAGGAGAGATCACAACCAACACCAAAGAAATACAAGCAATTATAAGAACATATTATGAGCAACTCTATGCCAGCAAATTAGATAACCTGGAAGAAATGCATGCATTCCTAGAGATGTATCAAATACCAAAACTGAACCTGGAAGAAATAGAAAACCTGAACAGACGTATAGCCACTAAGGAAATGGAAGCAGTCATCAAAAATCTCCCAACGAACAAAAGCCCAGGGCCAGATGGCTTCCCAGGGGAAATCTACCAAACATTTAAAGAAGAATTAATACCCATTCTTCTGAAACTGTTCCAAAAAATAGAAATGGAAGGAAAAATTCCCAACTCGTTTTATGAGGCCACCATTACCTTGATCCCAAAACCAGACAAAGACCCCATCCAAAAGGAGAATTACAGACCAATATCCCTGATGAACATGGATGCAAAAATTCTCACCAAAACACTAGCCAATAGGATCCAACAGTACATTAAAAGGATTATTCACCACGACCAAGTGGGATTTATCCCTGGGCTGCAACGTTGGTTCAACATCCGCAAATCAATCCACGTGATACAATACATTAACAAAAGAAAGAACAAGGACCATACAATCCTCTCCGTAGATGCAGAAAAAGCATTTGACAAAGCACAGCTTCCTTTCCTGATCAAAACTCTTCAGAGTATAGGGATAGAGGGTACATACCTCAATATCATAAAAGCCATCTATGAAAAACCCACAGGGAATATCATTCTCAGTGGGGAAAAACTGAGAGCTTCCCCCCTAAGGTTAGGAATGCGGCAGGGATGTCCACTATCACCACTGCTATTCAACATAGTATTAGAAGTCCTAGCCACAGCAATCAGACAACAAAAAGAAAGAAAGGGCATCCAAATCGCCAAAGAAGAAGTCAAACTCTCACTCTTTGCAGATATGATACTTTATGTGGGAAACCCAAAAGACTCCACCCCAAAACTGCTAGACTCATACAGGAATTCAGTAAAGTGGCAGGATAGAAAACCAATGCACAGAAATCAGTGGCATTCCTATACGCCAACAAGACAGAAGAAAGAGAAATTAAGGAGTCAATTCCATTTACACTTGCACCCAATACCATAAGATACCTAGGAATGAATCTAACCAAAGAGGCAAAGGATCTGTACTCAGAAAACTATGAAATATTCATGAAAGAAATTGAGGAAGACACAAAGGAATGGAAAAACGTTCCATGCTCACTGATTGGAAGAACAAATATTGTGAAGATGTCAATGCTACCTAGAGCAATCTACACATTCAATGCAATCCCTATCAAAATACCATCCACTTTTTTCAAAGCAATGGAACAAATAATCCTAAAATTTGTATGGAACCAGAAAAGACCCCGAATAGCCAGAGGAATGTTGAAAAAGAAAAGCAAAGTTGGCAGCATCACAATTCCGGAATTTCAGCTCTATTACAAAGCTGTCATCATCAAGACAGTATGGTACTGGCACAAAAACAGACACATAGATCACTGGAACAGAATAGAGAGCCCAGAAATGGACCCTCAATTCTATGGTCAACTAATCTTCAACAAAGCAGGAAAGAATGTCCAATGGAAAAAAGACAGTCTCTTCAACAAATGGTGTTGGGAAAATTGGACAGCCACATGCAGAAGAATGAAGCTGGACCATTTCCTTACACCACACACAAAAATAGACTCCAAATGGTTGAAAGACCTCAATGTGAGACAGGAGTCCATCAAAATCCTAAAGGAGAACACAGGCAGCAACCTCTTCGACCTCAGCTGCAGCAACTTCTCCCTAGAAACATTGCCAAAGGCAAGGGAAGCAAGGGCAAAAATGAACTATTGGGACTTCATCAAGATAAAAAGCTTTTGCACAACAAAAGAAACAGTCAACAAAACCAAAAGACAACTGACAGAATGGGAGAAGATATTTGCAAATGACAGATCAGATAAAGGGCTAGTATCCAAAATCTATAAAGAACTTATGAAACTCAACACCCAAAGAACAAATGATCCAATTAAGAAATGGGCAGAAGACATGAACAGACATTTTTCCAAAGAAGACATCCAAATGGCCAACAGACACATGAAAAAGTGCTCAACATCGCTTGGCATCAGGGAAATCCAAATCAAAATCTCAATGAGATATCACCTCACACCAGTCAGAATGCCTCAAATTAACAAGTCTGGAAATGACAGATGTTGGCGGGGATGTGGAGAAAGGGGAACCCTCCTACACTGTTGGTGGGAATGCAAGCTGGTGCAGCCATTCTGGCAAACAGTACAGAGGTTCCTCAAAAAGTTGAAAATAGAGCTACCCTATGATCCAGCAATTGCACTACTGGGTATTTACCCCAAACATATAAATGTATGGATTTGAAGGGGTATGTGCAGTCCGATGTTTATAGCAGCAAGGTCCACAATAGTCAAACTGTGGAAAGAGCCAAGATGTCCATCGACAGATGAATGGATAAAGAAGATGTTGTATATATATATATACAATGGAATAATATGCAGCCACCAAAAGGAATGAAATCTTGCCATTTGCAATGCCGTGGATGGAACTGGAGGGTGTTATGCTGAGCGAAGTAAGTCAATCAGAGAAAGACATGTATCATATGACCTCACGGATATGAGGGATTCTTAATCTCAGGAAACAAACTGAGGGTTGCTGGGGTAGTGGGGGGTTGGGATGGATGGGGCGGCTGGGTGATAGACATTGGGGAGGGTATGTGCTATGGTGAGCGCTGTGAATTGTGTAAGACTGTTGAATCACAGACCTGTAATTCTGAAACAAATAATACATTATATGTTAAAAAAAACAAAAAAGAAGAAGAAGAAGATAGCAGTAAGGGAAGAATGAAGAGGGGGAAATCGGAGGGGGAGACGAACCATGAGAGACGATGGACTCTGAGAAACAAACTGAGGGTTCTCTAGGGGAGGGCCATGGGGGGATGGGTTAGCCCCATGGGGGGTTTACCCCTGGGATGGGTATTAAAGAGGGCACGTACTGCATGGAAGCACTGGGTGTTATATGCAAACAATGAATCATGGAACACTACCTCAAAAACTAATGATGTAATGTATGGTGATTAATATAACAATTAAAAAAAAGTCTTAAAAAATAAAAAAAGAAAAGGTTTAAAATATGATTTTGTGTTCAATATTTGTGTTTGTTTTCATTAGTCTTTAACTTATATTCATTTATTCAACAAAATATCAGCTAATTAATTAATTAAATGGTGCCTGTTTTCTATGCAGAGTGGAAGCCTTAGTCCATCTAGTTTGTCTTTAATTTACCAAGACTTCAGGAAAAGCTAATAATGAGGGCAACGAGGCAATAAATGGATCCTTAAATATATCCCCTATGAATTCACTCTGTTGTATTAGGAAAACATTTATTCAATGTAAAAGAGATTTTAAAACTCTGTAAAATATAGAACTTAAATCTTACCTGAATATCTGAAGGATGAGAATTCACAGATCCTTGATTATACAAATAAAGCATAAAATTATGTGCTAAAAAAAAACTGAATATAGAAAATGAGAGAATATTAAAAGTTATTCTTTTTGAAATATATAAAGCACTGCTCAGCAAACTAACACCCTCAGGCCAAATCTGACCTACTCTGTCTTTGTAAATAAAGCTTTATTGGAACACAGCCACACCCATTAATTTTTGTATGGTCCATGGCTGTTTTCAAGCTACAACAGCAGAGTTGAGTCATTTTACCAGAGATATTATGGCCCTCAAAGCCTGAAATATTTTCACTCTGGGCCTGGGCCTTTATAGTAAGTCTGCAAACCCAACAAAGGTAGTATTTTCTTTTGACATATGCATAATTTATATTCAAAGAAATACACACTCAAAATAATTTTCCTATTTTAATGAACTCCTTTATTTTTTTCATGAACTCCTTTGAAATAAGAAGGGACTACAAGATGAGAAAAAAAGACATTTTAAAATTTACAAATATATGAACTAGATGTAGGATTATGAGAGTTTTCCATTCTTTCATTCTTTCTAAATTTCACTACCATACATATATATCACCTTTATAATGAAGTAGAAGAGTACTGTGTAAAAGTTGTATTAATCTGAATGTAGATACTGAACCTACAGATCTAAGTTCAACCTTCTCTGGTATCACTGCCTGTACTTACTATCCTATTTCCTCACCTCATAGTCACTCCTCAATCCAATGTAACATAACTAGGTCACCCAGACTAGCTAGTTAGGAATCCTCCACTAAAAGTGATCTCATATGGGTTACTAATGACCCCCTAGTTGTCAAATCCAAAACGCAGTTTGAAGTCAAGTAAGACTACTCTGACACACATGTACTGTTGACCACACTTCCCTTTTTTAAGCCATCTACTCTTCAACTTCAATCATACCATTTCCACCTGGCTTCCCTAATATCTTTCTGTATACTTTAAGAGTCCCTTCGTCTGGGTCCTTGCTTCTTCCCTTAAATGTTTCCATGGCATTCAATTCTGGGTTGTTTTTCCTTCTCACCTTTGATATTCACTCCTACCTCTACAGATTTATCTTGTTCATTTCTGGTGCTTCATTTATACCTACATAAATAGATGGCTTTGAAATCCACACTCACATTCTAAGCCAACTGGACATTTCTCTTGGGATATCCTACAAGCACTTCATATCTAACTTTTTCAAAACTGAGCCCATAATTCCCCTGACTCAGATCTGTTCCCCTTCTCCTTCACTGCCACACCAAATCTCTGCTACCACTATATCCAATGTTAGCTAATCTTTTTCCTGCCACCTCAGTATATATCTAAAAAAAAAAAAAAAAAAAATCCCTACCTCTACAGTCATAGTTCTGTTTTTCATTATTTCTCATATAAGTTATTTGCAATAACTTCCTAATTGTCACTATGCCATCATAATCATTATGCAAGTAATTTCCCAAAACAATACACACACGCTTTACCCATCTCCTAAACTCTAGTCCCTATAATTCTTACCACTGTTTATACTCCTGATAAGATGTTCAAATGCACTGTGAGTTCTCTTCACTTTCCCTCTTATATACTTGAAAAGATCTTTGAGTTGTCATTTACCATAGTCTTCTTCCCTTCTGTCTGAAGGAGTAGGTTAACTCTTCTTTTACTCAGTGCTATTCTTTGGCATTTTATACAATGAACTGCTTGTTTATACAGCTCTAAGAAACTTCCCTTCAACCAAAAAACTTTGTTTCTTCCTTCTTAAAAAGCATTTATCTGCACCTGTTTCTTCTTTTTCTGCCAAACATTTTTGAAAAAGTTATTTACAAATTACTACCTTAAGTTTCTCACAACCCACCTCTCCCTAATACCATGTAGTCTAGTTCTATAACCAAAATTTAACTGAAATTATCCTATTGAAAGTCACAAAATAATTCTAAGCCAGCTTTTCTCCTCATGAGAGAAATTTCCATGGTTTCCTGGTTTCCATGAGAGAATTACACCCTACAGAAAGTTATTTCAATTACTTTCTCAATTCCCTGAAGGAAGTACACAGCTAGTACTATTTTCCATAAACTCTCACAAGTGTATAGTCTCATTCCATATTAAATTCCTTATTCCAGGCCTGTCTCTCTGATCAAACCCTGATACACTTACAGACTTACTTCTTATTACAACATTCTGCCCTGATTATATAGGTCCTTCTGGTTCTATCAACAACATAAGATCATATAGATTAATCTTCAGGAGGGGGGCCCTTATTTTTTTCCTGTTCCCCCCTATTCACAAAAGACTACTTGAGACATTAGGACCAAAAATTTAATTAATTCACAGGAAAGCATCTGTTCATCTGAGACAATTTAAATGTTTAATAACAACTACATTAATTATTTTAACACTCCATTTTTATTATAAGTAAACAAATTCATATCAATAAAATGAAATACAACACTAAATGAAAAAAAAATTACCTTTGCTTAAGGTGTACAGTGTATGGCTTCTCATCTATTACAATAGTATAGGATATCTGTTCCTAGAGAATCCAGAATAACTGAGATGAAGAGCCATGTAACAGCAGCAAAACAATAATTTTACATCAGTCAATCCCTCCAAACAATCCCTAAAATATCTTGATTAAAATGTCTCAGACTATACATGATTTAAAATTTGCAACAATATATCAAAATTATAACATGTTTCTTATATAATCCAGTCTTACTATTTCTATAAAAATAAACCTAACCTAAGGATTTATATGGGATTAGAAATCTATATATAATTATATATAACTGAATTTTAAGCTCTTCTGAAATCAGAGACCATATGCTATACTATAATGTCTATGTAGGTGGCATCATTGGGATAATAAGGTATCCTATATCAGCGAAGCTTATTCTATCAGGCACAAAAGATATTATAACTGTTTTCTTAAAATGTATTGCCTGGGGGCGCCTGGGTGGTTCGTTTGTTAAGCGTCTGCCTTCAGCTCAGGTCCTGATCCCAGGGTCCTGGGATTGAGCTCCGCATTGGGCTCTCTGCTCTGCGGGAAGCCTGCTTCTCCCTCTCCCACACCCCTTGCTTGTGTTCCCTCTCTCGCTGTGTCTCTCTCTGTCAAATAAATAAATAAAATCTTTAAAAAAAATGTATTGCCTTATTCCTGTATTCTTGAACAAAATTTGGTATTGTTTTTTACTCTATCACTACTATTCTCAAGTTAAAACATGGATAACAATAAGTTGCAATATCACTAAGTTGCTGAACCTGAGTGATGAGATTTTATCCAGCCAAAGAGAATATGTAAAAAGCAAGAGTTAGAGCATCACTGGAAGGAAAACTTAAGCATATAAAAACCAAAAAGACACAAATACCAGAACTAAGAAAAAGATAAGCCTTCTAGGATCTGTGACTCTCAGCCCTGCCCACCCACAAAAACCCCACAAGGGGCAGCACAGAGAGAACCTGGTAGTTTGGGGTCCCTGCAACCCCAACAAACAGACTGGGAGTAGATATCTGGTCTGACTACAGGCCCTGCCCACCAATGAAAATTTCTCAGGGGACAACACAGGGAGAGCACCCTGCAGTGGGCTAAGACTGCAGTTCTGGCAAACATCTGGTCTGACTCAATTCAAGTCCAAGACGGCCCCAGACTAGCCCCTTAACAACACAGGGACCAAACATTGTCCACAAAAGGCAAAGAGAACCACTGCAGACAATTGGACCTAAGGCAAACACCTCTCAATCACAACATTAGGATACATACAACACACATAAGTGACACCCCTGAAGCACCAGGTTCTGGTAAACAGGGGACATTGCACTTCAGGGCACTACAGCATCTCTTCTTCATAAAGCCACTACGTTTCAAGAACAGAAGTAGCTGACTTTCCTAACACATAGAAACAGACACAAAAAGTTAGACAAAATGAGAAGACAGAAGAATATGTCCCAAATGAAAACAAATAAGCAAATTCACAGCAAAAGAGCTAAATGAAATGAAGATAAGCAATATGCCTGAAAGAGAATTCAAAGTAATGCTCATAAAGATACTCACTGACTTAAGAAGATCCCCATTAGACCCTAAACAAAGAAATAGAAAATATAAAAAGAACCAATCTGGGATGAAGAACTCAATTATAGAAATTAAAAATACAGTAGAGGGAATAAATAGACTAGAGGAAGGAGAAGAATAAACCAGTGAGCTACAAGACAGAGTAATGGAAAGCAACTAAGCTTAACAGCAAAAAGTAAAAGAACGATAAAAAATGAGAATAGGTTAAGAATCTCAGCAACAACATCAAGTATAATAGCATAAGCATTACTGGAATCCCAGGAGAAGAGAGAGAGAAAAGAGGACAGAAAATGTATTCAAAGAAATAACAAATGAAAAGTCACTAATCTGGGAAGGAAACAGAAATCCAGATCCAGGAAGCACAGAGAGCCCCCAACAAAATCAACCCAAAGGGGTCTACACCAAGACATATAATAATTAAAATGGTACAAAGAAGTGATGAAGAGAGAATTTTAAAATCACTAAGAGAAAAGAAAACAGTTATATACAAGGGAAATTTATCAGCAGAAACTTTGTAGGCCAAAAGGGACTGGCATTATGTATTCAAAGTAATAAAAGGAAAAAAAAGTCTGCAGCCAAGAATACCCTATCCAGCAAGGATATCATTCAGAATAGAAGGAGAGATAAAGAGTTTCCCAGGGGTGCCTGGGTGGCTCAGTGGTCAAGCGTCTCCCTTCAGCTCAGGCCCTGATCCCAGGCTCCTGGGATCGAGCCCCACATCGAGCTCCCTGCTCAGCGGGAAGACTGCTTCTCCCTCTCCCACACCCCCTGCTTATGTTCGCTCTCTCGCTGTCTCTCTTTCTCTGTCAAATAAATAAATAAATAAAATCTTTAAAAAAATAATAATTAAAAAAAAAGCGTTTCCCAGATGAACAAATGTTAAGGAATTCATCACCACTAAATCAGCCATACAAGAAATGATAAAGGAAATACTTTGCCTGGAAAGGAAAGACCATAAGCAAGAGTAGGAAAAGTAGGAAAGGAAAAAATTTCACAGGTACATATAAACATAATAAAAGTAGTAGATTGATCACTTATAAAACCAATAGAAAGGTTAAAGCACAAAAGCAGTAAAATCAGTCAGAAGATTCACAAAATTTTAAAAAAAGATTCACAAAATAAAAGGATGTAAAGTATGACATCATATACCTAAAATAAGGGAGGAGGAAGTAAAAAATCAGTGCTTTCATGTGTTCAAACTTAAGCGACCATCAATTTAATGCCGAACTGCTATAAACATAGGATGTTATATATGAACCTAACGGTAACAACACGTCAAAAACTTATAATAGATATGCAAAAAATAAAGAGAAATAAACCCAAGCATTTCACTAAAGACAGCCATCCAACATGAGAAGAGAGCAAGAGAAGAAGAGAACAGAGAACTACAAAAAAAAAAAAAAAACCTGTAAAATAAGTAACAAATGGCATTAAGTACATAACTATAAAAATTACTTTGAATGTAAATTAACTACAATCAAAAGACACAGGGTAACAGAATGGATAAAAAGGCAAGATCCATTTATATACTGCCTACAAGACACTCATTTCACATGAAAAGACACATGCAGATTCAAAGTGAAGGGATGGAAAAACATTTATCATGCAAATGGAAGTGAAAAGAAAGCTAGGATAGCAATACTTATACGAAACAAAATAGATGTTAAAACAAAGACTGTAACAAGAGACAAAGGACACTACATAATAATAAAGTGAACAGTCCAACAAGAAGATGTGACAATTGTAAATATTTATGTACCAAACATGGGAGCACCCAAATACATAAAGCAACTATTAACAGAAAGAAAGAAATCAATAATAATACAGTAGTAGGGGACTTTAAAACTTGCATCAATTGAGAGATCATCCAAACACAAAATCAACAAGGAAACAGTGGCTTTGAATGATACATAGGACCAGATGGAACTAACAGATATATTCAGACTATTCAATGCAAAAAAGAGAAGAATATACAATCTTTTCAAGTGCAACTGAAACATTATCCAGAATAGATCATGTTAGGCCACAAAATAGGTCTCAACAAATTCAAAAAGACTGGTATCATATCATGCATCATTTCTCACCACAATGTTATGGAACTAGAAATCAACCACAAGAAAAAATCTGGAAAGAACACAAATACATGGAGGTTAAATAACATACTACTAAGCAATGAATGGATCAACCAAGAAATCAAAGGGGAAATTGAAACTATATGAAGACAAATGAAAATGAAAACACAGTAGTCCAAAATCTTTGGGATGCAGCAAAAACTGTTCAGAGGGAAGATTATAGCAATACAGGCCTACCTCAAGAAGCAAGAAAAATCTCCAATAACAACCTCACCTTACACCTAAAGGAGCTAGAAAAAGAACAGTAAAAGAAGCCCCAAACCAATTGAAAGACAAATAATAAAGATTAGAGCAGAAATAAATGAAATAGAAATTAAAAAAACAATAGAACAGATCAATGATACCAGGAGCTGGTTCCCTAAAAACATAAACAAAATTGATAAAACCTTAGCCAGAATCATCCAAAAAAAAAAGAGAGAAGACTCAAACAAAATCAGAATTGAAAGAGAAGAAATAACAACCAACACCAAAGAAATACAGAAAAATATTATAAAAATTATATGCCAACAAATTGGACAACCTAAAAGAAATGGATAAATTTCTAAAAACAATCAAATAAGTAATCCAAAAACTCCCAACAGACAAAAGTCCAGGACCAGATGGCTTCACAGGTGAATTCTACCAAAAACTTAAAGAAGAGTTAATACCTATTCTTCTCAAACAACTCCAAAAAGTAAAGAGGAAGGAAATGTTCCAAATTCATTCTGAAGCCAGCATTACCCGAATAACAAAACCAGATAAAGACACTGCAAAAGAAGAAAACTACAGGCCAATATCTCTGATGAGCATACATGTAAAAATCCTCAACAAAATATTAGCAAACCAAATCCAACAATACATTAAAAAAATCACTCACTACAATCAAGTGGAATTTATTCCTGGGATGCAAGCGTGGTTCAATATTCCAAATCCATCAACATGATACATCACATTAAAAATAGAAAGGATAAATACTATATTATCATTTAAATCAATGCCCAAAAGGCATTTGACAAAGTACAACATTCATTCATTCAAAGTACAACAAAGTAGGTTTACAGGGAACATGCCTAAACATAATAAAGGACATATATGAAAAATCACAGCTAACACCATACTCAATGGTGAAAAACTGAGAGCCTTTCCCCTAAGGTCAGGAACAAGACCAGGATGTACACTCTTACCCCTTTTATTCAATGTAGTACTGGAGGTCCTAGCCACAGCAATCAGACAAGAAAAAGGAATAAAAGACATCAAAATTGGTAAGGAAGAAGTAAAACTTAATTTGCAGATGGCATGATACTATATAGAGAAAACGCTAAAGATTCCACCAAAAAACTACTAGAACAGATAAATGAATTCAGTAGAGTTGCAGAATACAAAATCAATGTACAGAAACCTGTTGCATTTCTATACACTAATAACAAAGTAGTAGAAAGAGCAATTAAGAAAACAATCCCATTTATAATTACACCAAAAATAATAAGATATTTAGGAATAAACTTAACCAAGGAGGTGAAAGACCTGTACTCTCAAAACTATAAAACACTGATGAAAAAAACTGAAGATAACACAGACAAATGGAACAATATTCCATGCACATGGATTGGGAGAATTAATATTGTTAAAATGTCTCTACTATCCAAACCAATCTACAGATTTAATGCAGTACCATCATTTTTCATAGAACTGGAACAAATAATCCTAAAATTTGTATGGAACCACAAAAGACTGAATAATCAAAGCAATCTTGAAAAAGAAAAGTAAAGTTGGAGGCATCACAATCCCAGCTTTCAAACTATACTACAAACCTGTAGTAATCAAAACAGCATGGTACTGGCACAAATATAGACACATAGATCAACAGAACAGAATAGAGAGCCCAGAAATAAACCCACAAGTATAGGGTCAGTTAATCTTTGACAAAGCAGGAAAGAATATGCAATGCAAAAAAGACAGTCTCTTCAATATATGGTGTTGGGAAAACTGGACAACCACGTGCAAAAGAATGAGACTGGACCACTATGTTACACCATACACAAAAACAGACTCAAAATGGATTAAAGACCTAACTATGAGACCCCAAAACATAAAATTTCAAGAAGAAAACATAGGCACTAATCTCTTTCACATCAGCTATACAAACATTTTTCTAGATATGTCTCCTCTGGCAAGGGAAACAAAAGCAAAATTAAACTATTGGGACTATAACAAAGTAAAAAGCTTCTGCACAGCAAAGGAAACAACTAACAAAACTAAAAGAGAACCCACCAAATGGAAGGAGATATTTGCAAATGGTATATCTGATAAGGGGTTAATATCCAAAATGTATAAAGAACTTACACAACTTACCACCAAAAAAACTTGAATAATCCAATTTAAAAATGGGCACTAGACATGAACAGACATTTCTCCAAAGAAGACATACAGATGGACAACAGTTATATGAAAAGATACTCAACATCACTCAACGTCAGGAAAGTGCAAATCAAAGCTATAATGAGATATGACCTCAGACCAGTCAGAATGGCTAAAATAAAAAGCACAAGAAACAATAAGTGTTGACAAGGAGGTAGAAAAAAGCAACCCTAGTGCACTGTTGGTAGGAATGCAAACTTGTACAACCACTATGGAAAAGAGTATGGAGGTTCCTCAAAAAAATAAGAAGAGAATGACCATTTGATCCAGTAATTCCACTACTGGGTATTTACCCAAAGAATACAAAACACTAATTTGAAAAGATTTATATACCCCTATGTTTATTGCAGCATTATTTGTAATAGCCAAGATATGGAAGGAACCCAAATGTCCATCGATAGATGAATGGATAAAGATGATGAGGTACATACACACAATAGAACAAACATTATTCAACCATGAAAAAGAATGGTATCTTGCCATCTGCAACAACATGAATGGATCTGGAAGGTATAATGCTAAGTGAAATATGTCAGTCAGAGAAAGACAAATACCATATGATTTCACTCATAGTGGAATTAAAGAAACAAAACAAAACAAGAAAGACAAACAAAAAGCAGACCCTTAAATAAAGAGAACAAACCAGTGATTTCCAGAGGGAAGATAGACGGAAGGATAGGTAAAACAAGAAAGGGGATTAAGAGTACACTTACTGTGATGAGCAATGAGAATCTCTATATTATACACTTGAAACTAATATAGCTGGAATTAAATAAATAAATAGAATGAAAACACGAATTCAAAAAGATATATGTACCCTATGTTTACTGCAGCACTATTTACAGTAGTCAGGATATGGAAGCAATCTAAGTGTCCATTGATAAATGAATATGTAAAGAAAATGTGGTACACACACACACACACACACACTGGAATATCACACAACAATAAATAAAGATGAAATCTTGTCATTTGTGATAACATGCATGGACCTTGAGGGCATTATGCTAAGTGAAATAAGTCCCGACTGAGAAAGACGAAGACCATATGATTTTACTCATATGAGGAATCTAAAAAACAGAACAAGTGAATAAACAAACAAACAAAAAGCAGAACTGTACCTGTAAATACAAAGAACAAACTGATGGTTGCCAGAGGGAAGGGAGTTTAAGGGATAGGCAAACTGCCTGAAAGGGAGTGGAAGATATAGGCTTTCATTTATATGGAATAAGTCATGAAAATAAAAGGTGCAACAAGGGAATACGGTCAATGATATTATAATAGTGTTGTATGGTGGCAGATGTTGGTTACACTTGTGGCGAGAACAGCATCATGTAGAGAGATGTTGAATCACTATGCTGTACACCTGAAACTAATGGAACATTGTGTGTCAACTACATTTAAAATTTTTAAAAATTTTTAAAGAGATTCTCCTTAATCATTTGGAGAAAATTATTCTCTTCATTGAATCATCTAGATATTCCTCAGATAAGAACCTAATTCTTCTACATCTTTTTTTTTTAAAGATTTTATTTATTTACTTAAGAGAGAGAGAGAACACACAGAGGGAGACGGAGAAGCAGACTCCCTGCTGAGCAAGGAGCCCTATGCAGGACTTGATCCCAGGACCCTGGAAATCATGACCTGAACCAAAGGCAGACACTTAACTGATTGATCCACCCAGGTGCCCCTACATCATTTATTTTATTTGAACTTTTAAAATTTTTACCATAAGCAATGACAAATGTTAGGCAAAACACAACATTCTGATCTATATATTTGCTTTTACTATCAAAACCTTAAATTCCATATCAGTAGTAATACTGCATACTTATATTCATTCTATAATGGGGTTGATATATTTGTCATTAATAAAAATTAAAATTTCATATAATATTTACATGAAAAATATCTCTTACATTGTCTGCTTCTGAATTATCACTTGTATTTGCTTGGATTTTCTCTGGAACTACAATTTGTAGAAATGAATTTTGAGAACCTGAAGAAAGGAAAAAGACAGTTAATAATTGTGTCTTATACCTGACTAAGTATTTGTTCAGGTTCTTTTGTAGAATTCACTTGTGCACATATGAGTAATCAATATGTACTCCTACAAAAATCTTGAAAACACTTAATTCAAAAACAGACAAGATAGTTATGAAAGACCAAAAAAAGGACAGAAGGTGGGGACAGGGGCATAGTATTAAACTTACACAAAATTTGTTGCTCCTGAGGAAAACAGAACAAATAGACCAAAAATAATCAAAGATATACTTCAAGAAAATTTTCCTGAAAACAAACTGAGGATTGCTGGAGTGGAGGGGGGTGGGAGGGATGGGGTGGCTGGGTGATGGACACTGGGGAGGGTATGTGCTATGGTGAGTGCTGTGAATTGTGTAAGACTGATGAATCACAGACCTGTACACCTAAAACAAATAATACATTATATGTTAATAAAAAATATAAAAATTAAAATTAAAAAGAAAATTTTCCTGAAATAAAAATAAAAGATTAGAAACCATAGACTGGAAAGTTCACTGAATTCAATAATAACTGATAATAAAACAGACCTAGTCTACTAAAGTTATTGTGTGTCTAAGGTAAAGAAAGAATCCTATGGGCCTATGAGCAAAAAGAAAGAAAAAGAAAATCATATTGGGGGGGCACCTGGGTGGCTCAGTCATTAAGCGCCTGCCTTCAGCTCAGGTCATGATCCTAGGGTCCTGAGGTCAAGCCCCACATCGGGCTCCCTACTCAGCAGGAAGCCTGCTTCTCCCTCTCCCACTCCCCCTGCTTGTGTTCCCTCTCTCACTGTGTCTCTCTCTATCAAATAAATAAATAAAATATTAAAAAAAAAAGAAAAGAAAATCATATTGGGCATTAGGGAGAAAAGCAGCCTAGCCTGAGAATTTTTACATTACTCAACATTAAAAAAAATGAAGAACAATGTCTTTATTTTTTTAAGTTTTTATTTAAATTCCAGTTGGTTACCATACATGTTAATATTAGTTTCAGGTGTACAATATAGCAATTCAATACTTCCATACAACACCCAGTGCTCATCACAGCAAGTACACTCCTTAATCCCCATCACCTATTTAACCCATGCCCCCACCCACCTCCCTTCTGGTAACCACCAGTTTGTTCTGCATTGTTAAGGATCCATTTCTTGGTTTGCTGCTCTCCTTTCCGTCCCCCCGCTTTGCTCATTTGTTTAGTTTCTTAAATGGTATTCATCTTTCTCTGACTTATTTCAGTTAGCATACTACTCTCTAGCTCCATTCATGTCATTTCTAACGGCAAGATTTTGTTCTCTTTTTTTATGGCTGAGTAATATTTCATTGTATACATACCACTTTTTTTTTTCTTCTCAGATGCTGGGTTAGGGTTTATGGCCAATTTTAGGTTTAGGGTTAAGGTTAGGGTCAGGGTGAGGGTATGTGCCTGGCACCCTGCTGTTTAGAGAACTCTCCAGAGGGTTCGATTCAGGGTTAGGTTTAGGGGTTGGGGGTTAGGGTTAGGGTGAAGGTTAGGATTAGGGTTAGGGTTTAGGGTTAGGTTTAGGGGTTAGGGGTTGGCAGTTGGGGGTTAAGGGGTTGGGATTAGGGGCTAAAGTTGGGGTTAGGGTTAGTGAGTTTGGGTGTTACTGGATTTATACTAATTAAAGAAGATGTTACTTGAATGATGGTGTATACACAGTGTAGTTTCAGTGAGTGAAGCACAAGGCACTTCCCTTATGTTTCTACACATCCATTTACAAACACATATATATTAATGAAAGAAAATGTTACTTCAACAATGGATTATATACACAGTGTGGTTCAATGAGATAAGCACAGGGCTCTTCCCATATGCTCACATCATATGTTTACAAACACTTTTATCTTAATGAAAGAAAGTGTTATATGAAACACACATTATATTCCATGTAGTTACATTCAGGTAAGAATAGGTCTATTCCCACATTCTTTTACACATACATTTATAAACACATATATATCAATGAAAAAGATGTTATTTGAGCGATGGTTTATATATAGTGTAGTTCCAATGAGAAGCATATGGCTATTCCCATATGTTTCTATGCATATGCAGAAACTTTAATGAAAGAAGATCATACTTGAAAGACTGATTATACACACTGTGGTTTCAGAGTGTTAAGCATACAGCTATTCCCATATGCTTCCACACATTTGAAGAACAAGGTCTTTTAAAAATCTTCAAGTCAAAAAGTGGGCAGAAGAGATGAACAGACACTTCTCTGAAGAAGACATACAAACGGCTAACAGACACATGAAAAAATGCTCATCATCATTAGCCATCAGGGAAATCCAAATCAAAACCACACTGAGATACCACCTTACACCAGTTAGAATGGCAAAAATGGACAGGGAATGAAACAACAAATGTTGGAGAGGTTGTGGAGAAAGGGGAACCCTCTTACACTGTTGGTGGGAATGCAAGTTGGTACAGCCACTTTGGAAAACAGTGTGGAGGTGCCTCAAAAATTTAAAAATAGAGCTACCCTATGACCCAGCAATTGCACTCCTGGGTATTTACCCCAAAGACACAGATGTAGTGAAAAGAAGGGCCACATGCACCCCAGTGTTCATAGCAGCAATGTCCGCAATAGCCAAACTGTGGAAAGAGCCAAGATGCCCTTCAACAGATGAATGGATAAAGAAGATGTGGTCCATATATACAATGGAATATTACTCAGCCATCAGAAAAGATGAATACCCAATTTTTACATCAACATGGATGGGACTGGAGGAGATTATGCTAAGTGAAATAAGTCAAGCAGAGAAAGTCAATTATCATATGGTTTCACTTATTTGTGGCACATAAGGAATAACATGGAGGACATTAGGAGAAGGAAGGGAAAAATGGGCGGGGGGAATTGGAGGGAGAGATGAACCATGAGAAACTATGGACCTAAGAAACAAACAGGGTTTTAGAGGGGAGGGGGGAGGGGGGATTGGTTAGCCCGGTGATGGGTATTAAGGAGGGCACGTAATGCATGGAGCACTGGGTGTTATACGAAAACAATGGATCGTGGATCACTACATCAAAAACTAATGATGTATTGTATGGTGACTAACATAACATAATAAAATTTAAAACTACAAGAAAAATAAATAAATCAATCAATCAAAAAAAAAAATCTTCAAGAAAAGAAGTGTGAAAAACCTGGAATTTCATACCCAGCAAAACTTTCATTCAAATATAGAGGCAAAGGAGAAGTAGTCACAAGCAAAAACGTAAAGGAAGTAGCTCAATGTCCCTGTCACCAAAGGCAGAGAAACTTCTTCCAATGAAGATATCAGTAGAGTTAAAGTAAAATGTTAGTAGTGGGTATTAAATAAATTTAAATATAGAATAAGGCTAAAACAACTTTGAGAACTATAGTTATTTAATAGAGTGCAAATGATATAGACATAATAACATCTATAATAATGTCAGGCAGTACAACAAAAGAGGAATACTATATGTGCATACTGATTTCCTTAAATTTACAGCAATGTGGTCCAAAAAGAATTGTGATTAAAGCTGAAAATCAAGTGGTAGAAGTAGAAACATATTGTTCAATGGCATAACAGTATAGAAGAATTAAGATTTAAAATAACCACAGTCATACAATAAAGGGGAAAGCAGGAAGTGGGAAGTAGTAAGATACTAAATTTTCAAGTTACAGTGAGGAATCACTATTACTGCCTAAATAAAAATTTTAATCTATTATGTAAACACTAAAAATATTCCAAATTAAGAGAACATACACAAAGTCACCCAGAAAATAAGCCAAAAGTCAGATTTTTACAGTGAAAGACTTTACCAAAAGTATGAAGTTAGAAAAGTATGACATAATTAAGAAGCTGTGAGATCAAAAATCTCAGTCTTATCAACAAATGTAAGTAGAATGAAATAACCAACTAAAAGAAAAATCTTCAGATTGGATCTGTAAAATCAAAACCCAATTACTCAGACCTTGTATGGAATATTAAACACTTGCTCTAAGCTAATACTTATTTTAGAGGACCTAAAATATAACTGTGGTTCGTTTCAGGAAAAGATGTGTGCTTACAAGAAGACTGGTGATACATGAAATTTAGGATCAAATCTGAGTTTACTCATGGGTCTACAAATGCATCCTATCATAATTTGCCCAATTACGGAACAGTATGTGGAAAGAGATATAATCAATATCTTATAGAATCCCCAATTTGCCTCCCTGACCCATATAATGAGGATTATTATGGTAGGGAGGGCCAAATAGAAATCTCTGAATATCATATGCACCATCACCAAAACATTAAACCAAGTATTTCTAAATCCAGAAGGCAGTCCAAACCTGAGAAGAACTGAAATATAAAGAGCAGTGATTTCCACCAATCTGTACCTCTGAAACAAATAATGCAATATATGTTAAGGAAAAAAAAAAGAAGAAGAAGAAGATAGCAGGAGGGGAAGAACGAAGGAGGGGAAATCAGAGGGGGAGACGAACCACGAGAGACAGTGGACTCTGAAAAACAAACTGAGGGTTCTAGAGGGGAGGGGGATGGGAGGATGGGTTAGCCTGGTGATGGGTATTAAAGAGGGCACGTTCTTCATGGAGCACTGGGTGTTATGCACAAACAATGAATCATGGAACACTACATCTAAAACTAATGATGTAATGTATGGTGATTAACGTAACAATAAAAAATTTTAAAAAAATAAAGAGCAGTGAATCCTATTACTTTCCTATTTTGTTTGTTTGATTTGTGCTGATGATAAGCAATAATGACAATGAGTTGTCTTAAGTTTAATCAGGTGGTGACTGCAATAACAAATATTGTTCTAAACATAGTCTCTTTACTGAAGCAAAGCAACACAGGCATTGGCACCTGCATGTAATCCCTGATAGAAAAAGGTGTTTTCTCTATCCCAATAAGCAGAGAATTCCAGGAGCAAGTTTGCATTCTCACTTGACAGTGAGAGCAATGTACCTTCACCATCCTT